TTGGTCGCAGATCTGGGCCTTTTTTCTTCCTTCTCTTCTTTTTCTTTTTATCTTATCTTTTATGTCCTTGATTTTGTTTCTTTTTTGCCTTATAGTGGTCAAGATGTTAATTTTTGATCAAGATGCAGATTATTCATCAAGACAGTGATTTTTGTGGGTTGTTCTGTCTTATGGTCTCAAAATATGCTGGTAGCAGTGTACGGATCGATTACCAGTACGCTTATGAAAGTAATAATTTTCATTCTTAATCTTATTATGCATATGTTGGCTATGGCATCTCTGTACAGCGATCCACATTCATTTTTGAGCATCCATAGTCTGTAGCTGTAGTCTTTCAACATTGTTCCTGATTGCAGAAAACAGGTTCGAGTTTGCAGTATTCTCTACTTTCTAACTAGAAGGTACACGAAGGCTAAAAAGACCTCTTTACTACTAGCAAAAAGTAGAGCACAGAGGTACCATGACATGACATGACTAATCTGTATAATTCTCTCAACATGACATGACATGACTAATATGACGTCTCTTCAGTATAATTCTCTCAACTCCTAATCAAACCAAAATCAACCACTTAGATCTGCCCGCCGTAACAATCATCATCCCCCCAAAGTAACAAATCAACCACTTAGATCTGCCCACCGTAACAATCATCATCCCCCTCAAAGTAACCACTTAGATATGCCCACCGTAACAATCATCATCCCCCCAAACATTGACATTCATCCCAAAAGGATACGAAATCAGGTGTCTGTGCGTCACCAAAAAGGCCTGCTGACCTTTTAAAAGAAGTCTACACCTGTGGTTTCCAGTTTGACGTGTTTCAGGGCTCACGGACGATATGGATTCATAAGGATATTTTTATGGCAATGGGTAAGTACGTTGTAAGAAAAACGTAGATGAAAAAGAAGAAAGTCAAGCAAGTGCAAAGTCCACTCTGCATGATTATGGTATCTTCATCACTGTCCTCAAATACTAGGTAGTACCGTTGAAGGTCTGACAAAGCACCGCTCGTCATCCCATCTAATCCCTGTAGACATCATGGCGACGAAACCAGGGTAGCCGCAATGCAGAATGTGACGCCAGTGCGAGTGGGCGACCGAATTGAAATAGCAGTAAACCTGTACAACGCTTTTGGGAAAACAGCAGTCAGCTCAGTTCAGTGGTTGCCACCGAGATTCGCTGTAGCACCTTCGATGCGGTATTGTAGCTGTTGTTGACTCTATGTATGAGGCACGCTTTGATCATGAAGACAATCACTATAATGTCTGAACAAGCTTAGCTAAGCAAAACAGAACTACTCCCCTTATTTTATTGGTACTTTGAGGCAAAATCCCCACAACCCTTTTTATTCATCATCATAAAAAATCAAAAAAAATATAGAAAAATCAACCACCACAAACCACAGAAAATGTCCAGTTGAGGAGGAGCTCCACGATTGGTACGATTTAGACGGGTTTATGCTTCACAGCACAGAACGCTTACAGATTCCGAATTTTTTCACACCCCAACTCGAGCATCTCAGTACGCAGTATGCTGGGTATAATATTTTAATACAAGAAATTAATATGTTTTAACTTGTGAAAATATAAGTACGCACGCAGAAGTATTCTGGATCATAGTACTATGATGGGACGCGCTCCGGTTCAGGTTCTTTACCTCTAGGTGTAGCCTTCACTTATTTCAAGCGCTGCTCTCTCCGCTTCAAAGCTTATACTTGTGATACGGATAGCTTGATGGGGTCAAATAAATGTGTGCGTTTTGAGCATTCTAACTCTGTTTTTTGTAGATCTTCCGAGTTCAGTCTGTCTACCAAGAATGATGATCCTTTCTACCAGCCTTGACATTGCGGTTTCCAAGAGTTGGCTTCGTGCTAGCTCTCTCGGTGTAGTCCCCCAAGCGGACCGGATATTAGGGTCTCGATTTGAGGTTTTGCCGAAAACAGCACCGATTATTCTACCTTTGAAGTTATGCCGGCTTTCGACAATTACAACATGTTGGCTGCTCCTGTAGTAGTACAATGTCTGAGTCCCTCTTGATGATACGCTGCAACGGGGCTCCACGACTTGGCGTTGGCCTTTCTTTGTACATTTTTTGGTTCTAGATGAATGCGTGCGAATATCACTCAATCGGTTCATTGCCTCTCCTTACCTAGAGTAAGATCGTTGAGAGGCAGATTGCCGAATAGATTCAGATCATCAAGATCTTCGTTGAGAGGACTTCATCGAAGTGAATGAATACACAAGCTAATTGTTCTAATCAATCGCATTGGCCTGCAGCACGATCGCTTTACGAAAATTCAGCTGCGCCAAGACGATAAAGTGCTTCTCTACATATCACAAGGTGGAAAGCACGATAATCGCTAGGGGCTTGTAGAAGTGCAGCTGACGACGCCTTGTTCGCCTTGTTCGATTCCATTAACATCAAAAATCATTATTTCCTTCGAATCACTCAGTCACTACGACGTATACTTTTTCACTGACATCTTCATTCTCATTTGAAGTCATCCTGACTACGTATTTTCGACGACTGTCTTTCGACATCGTTCCAATCCGTCTGCATCCACATGTTACCGTTCAAAGAAATGGTGTTTATAAGTGTCACAAGTCCATCAGTGTCGACAGGAACATAGCTGTCATGTCACATGCAAGGCATACAAAAAAGCATGTACTGCAAGCCATCTTTCGATTGCCAATATATTAAAGACGATAAATCTGTGTCTGTTGAGAGCGTGCTAGAGAGAGAGACGCACGACCAACATATTCGAAAAACACCGGAAATGATCGTGCTCGAAGTAGTTCTTGCAAGTGTCGCCAGCGAAGTGGATAATAAATCGATTTTAGCTGCTTGTTTCGATAAAAGCCTTGGCAAAAAAGCTCGAAAAAGGGTAAAAGCTGTGTTGGTGAAAAAATGAAATTAATGCGAAGCTTGCTTAAAAAGTGTGAGTGAAGAAGAGAAGAAATAGCATGCGAACTAATGAGCCACGGTTTCACAAAGACCTTACTCACTCCAAAATAATGTAGGAAATGATCCAAAACAGCAAAGTAGGTTTCTGCTATTTTTTTATTTTCTCGTACAAAGATTTTAGTCGAGCTGTTTTCATCAACCTATCAATTTTTCCCAGCAAGTACTAACCAACGAGTAAATCAATAACTAAGAGAATCTCCTGCTTCTCTACTCGAAAGACTAAGGAAAAACAAAAAATGCCTATCTTCGATACGATCCTGAGCGGGTTGCATTTGCCTGCGACAGTCCAGGATTTCTTCCATCCGCACCATCACACCACGTCTTTCGCTGCAGATGGAAGCGACGGTCTCGAATTTCGCGAATACTACGCTAGTGCCTGCCCGCATTGCAAACTTATGGTTTACTTTTAGATGAAGAATGACAGACTCTGTATATGAAGGAAGCATCATCCATAGAAGTAGTCCACAAGACAAAAACCCCACGCAAACCCTCTCTAACCCCAACCTCGAGGCCCCATGGAAAGCCGCGGTCGGTCAGTATTCGGGTCCGGTGAAGTGGACTCAAATTGAGTGCAATGATGAAAACTGGGCACCAGTGCCAGGGAATGAAGAAAAATGTGCTGGCATCCCAGGATTCCCGACTATGAAAATGTTCAAGGTAATGTTCTGTTTGCTTGCTTTAGTTGTGGACCTTTGTATTCTAGCTGTATTGCACATTGTAGAAGCAGGTTTGTTATCGAGCTTTGCACATTGTAAAAGAGAGGGAAGCAGCATATCTATCATGTTGTAGTGTCCGATCTTAGCACAAGGATAATGAAAGAACAAGCAACTAATTCTATCCTCAACACATAGGGTGGCAAAGAAATCGATGAGTATCAAGGCGACCGTACGAGTGAAGCGCTGCTCAATTACGTGCGTGGCTTCGAAGCCCAGGCGCCACAGACAGCTTCCGTCCCGATTGGCGCTACGCTTGGTCTGGCAGCCATCAACAAATTCCTCTTTGGCGAGGAGGAAAAGAAGAAAAAAGAGAGCTTTTTTTAAAAGTGAACTTGGACCCTACTTGAACTTGAAAATCATTAGGGTGTGTAAGAAAATTGTATATTCATTGCCGGTGATGTTATGAAGCTGTTGTGATAAGAATATGTTCTTGTACATGAGCTTGGAAGTGATTTCAAGATCGACATTGAGATCTGTCTTGCTGCACCAACCAGAACTATTTTTTGTACTTAATTCAAGACCTTCTCTGAAGAATGAATGGATAGATGCAGAACTACAAAGAAACGCTACTACAGAAAATTGAGTCAGCCGAAAGTCTGGCACTGACCAGTCTCACGTACTAGGTAAACAACGATGTAAAAATTGGATAAGGTCTTAACAGATACCTGGTTCCCTCTGCCTCCCTAATTCATTGAAGTAAAAACAGAGATGAAAATCCTAAACATATATATTAGAACAGAGCAGTCTAGAACGGAGGATTTAATTCTCCCTAGCGCTACGACCTAAGAAAGAAGGTCGTCCCCTCAGTTCTTTTCTAGCCGGACTCATCTTTGTTAAAGCGAAGCTTAAATTTTGAATGATTTCTCAAGCAGTTAGTTGTTACCAGAGTAACTATGAACCCTCAATCCAAATTCCTAGGCACCAGAATATCTAGGAACATGTTTCGATTGTCCCACGAAGCTGTCAAGATATTCCAAGAAAATCACGCGTAGATGAAAAGTCCATTCAAAATCACCTGTTGCAGAGCGCGAGACAACTCACGCAGAGCGTGGTTGATTGGCAGTTTCTTGCGATGGTCTCGTGGCTCCTTCTGTCCAAATCAAGAAACAGTGATAGTCGGTTTTCCGATTGAATTACGGATACTAACAAGTCGGTGACATTCTGAGAGTGAAAGTGGCAAAAACCTCTGTTATTGCGCTCTTGTCATTTTTTTTTGGAGAGGGGGGGCATAGAGTGGGACAGTAACAGAGAATCAGTACCCCGAGGCCGAGAGAGTTAGCGAGAGGAACTGAGAGATTTTTTCCTAGTAGCTTGTTGAGTATCCCAGATCATGGCAACGTATCTATTTTTGACAACGCCTTTCTATGATGAATATGTGAGTGCATTTTTCGGATTCGGATGTGCCCGGGATCGGGTTTACCACTACTACTCCTACTACTTATTTCATTTCGTGCATCACCGTAAGTTATATCCTCTATCCTGACAGCACTCTTCCTTCATTATAAGAAAATCGCCCACCTAAGATTGTAGTCTTTTTTTCTTTTCTTCCTACCTCACTTTCCATATACATCTTCTCTTTCCCAATCTATCCACTACCACACTCACCAACTATGTCGGACGCTCAATTAGAGGCGAATCGGAGCAAACTTTTGCTTGAGGCGAACGATCATGTTGGCGTCTCATATTGGTTGGTGGCTGGCAGTATGGCAGCATGCTCCATCTTTTTCTATATACAGGTACCGTTTGGAAGCGTCAGATCTTTATGGATATACTGTATCGTTTGTCATCAGACTCCTGTACCGTTTGGAACTACTGTATATTCTTTATGAATATAATGGTCGCATCTAAATCTGCAGAATGCATGTATAACTTTGCTAGCCTTCAGTGTTCACTACACAGCAGGGTTTAGGGTCCTCGACACTCCTCACATTCCTCCACTGCTACACGTTACCTACCAACAGAGAGACCCAACCGCCTAGTTAATGCCGAGGATCCATTGTTCTGGTACACGTATGGCTGCTCTCAACGAACAAGTCAATCAATCAAGTCATCAATAGCAATCAACTCAATCAAAATAATATCAGAAATGATATATGTACCAGGGAGGGAGCCCCCCCCCTGTGTATATAACATTGCATGCAAGACCTCGCTGCGCTAGGCACATTCATTCAGTCAATCCTCGACACTCCTCTCATTCCTCCACTTCTACAGGCTGCGCTGGTTCCGCGAGAATGGTCGCTCACTATGATCATCGCCGGATCCGTCACAGCCATTGCGTGGCTCAGTTATCACAACGCCAAAGATGTGTGGCAGGAGAAGAGAGAAGCGCCTATCGTCGCAAGATATATGGACTGGTATGAAGAACATCATGACTTCATGAATTTTCAGGGGTAGCTTCCTGTTAAAGAACATCATGACTTCATGAATTTTCAAGGGTAGTAGTTCTCCTAACTGTGTGTAGAACATCTAGACGAGGAGGGGTGGTGAGCTCTATATTTGTTCAGTATTTACTAGAAGATGTTTGCAAGATGATGTGTGGACTGGTGAGCGAGGTGGTTATTTTCTTGGGTATTTACAAGCGAGTAACTGCACTCTCGACGTACGTAGTCGTTGTTGTGAAAAAGAAGCTTATTCTTTACAACCTCCAAGAGGTCCTCACGGTAATCTCGAGTAGCAGCTCAGAAAATCTTAGGTGTGTTGCCGCATAGTAGATTTAAACCATCGTACATTGTCTGCACTTGCAACTGTTATAAGTAAGAAATTAGAATCGCAGTACTTAATATCGAGTATCTTCAGCTCCTTCTTTCTCAACCACCTCCTATAGTACAACTATGTAATTACTTACAGTACTTATCAAGTATCTTCAACTCCTTCTTTCTCGACCACCGGCCAGTAAAGTACTCTACAGTATCAGCCTCTTTTTTCTCAACCACCACGTCCTAGGACCTCCTTCTGTCCCAACCTCCTAGGATCCTCACGGTGCCACTGCAAATATTGGAGTTTTATTTGCTATTAGCGATTGCGACGCCCCCTGACCGGGAGACGGTCTCACGTGCTTTGTGCGCGAGATTAGTTGGCGCCAGTATAGCCATGTTGGCGTTTGGGTACTGGTGATTCGCGTAAAAGTCTGATTGTTCCTTAGACAGGTAAGGCATGGCGGAGGTAGGAAAGCACAGTTTTCAAAACAATTTTTAGCATTTTTCCACAACAGACAGTTTTTAGCATTCTTCGTCAACAAGGTAACAACCAAACGGGCATGGACATGCAATCTTGAGTGAACATCAATGCCTTTACTCTAATATAATCTTCCTTTTTCAAGTACAGGTACATGGGAGAGACTGAGATTATGTCTCTATGGCCTGCTTTCGTGACTGGATGTGGCCTCTCTCAACCAAAACTACAGGTACATGGGAGAGACTGAGATTATGTCTCTATGGCCTGCTTTCGTGACTGGATGTGGCTGTTGGCTGTACATCGTCTGGGAACTGTATCAGGGAGAGGCTGCAAATTAAGACAATAGACTATAAGGACCAGAAGATGTTGGTTAATGCTACGCGAGGATGTCTTTTGCGGTGAAGCTTCTCCTCTGAGAATTTCCCGCATTCTTGCATTTTCTTATTCATTGCCCTAAGAGTTCCATTCCCGCCAAGAACACTCAGACTTCCACTCTCTCTTGCGAGCGCGACACGCGTGAGGCGGCAGGGTCGCGCGCGAACATAATAGTAATAATTAATTCCCGCCAAGAACACTCAGACTTCCACTCCCTCTCTCGTTCTAACATCCGCTTGCAAACGAATTAAGTGTCATAGAGGCAAAGAAATTTTTGAAAGACCTGGAGACCCAGGAAGAGAAAGAAATCCAGATGGCATCTGAGCTAGCGGATCAAGACGATGAAAGTGAAGCCGATGGCGAAAATAAGGGTATTTTTAATCTACAGTCTAGATCCACCTACCTTGTTATTGAAGCAGGCGCAGCATAAAGCCGGCGTTCTGTAGTTCCCTGCCCATGTTCATGTCGCCTACTAGTGCTCCAAGCGTCGGCGCAACATGGTGTAATCTACTTACTAAACTCTCTCTCAGACGGCAGTAATGAAGAGAATTTAGACGCAATGCTAGGACTGAGTGGCCGCAAGCGAGAAAAAAAGACGAGGACAGTAGTGGTCCGTAGAGACAAGGGCTATTTTGATGAGCGCGAATTCGTGAAACCAAGATTATGATCGAAGATTTTTCATGATTGTCCATCAGCATCTTGTCCAGCAAGAGATTCACCGACAGGCACTTGTATATCTGGAACAGAGGCTCATCTAGAACAGAGGCTCCATCTTTGATGAAGGAAAAAAAATCCTTCATCAAAGTAGACCTCTTGCCAGGCACATCAATCAATCAATAATCCGACACTGCTCATCCAGTACAACATGCTGTAGTCCTCCTTGCATGTTGGAACAAGACCACTTTGACTTATAACAGAGTAGTGTATAGCACGCATGGTGCATGGAGTAGCATGGAGTGCATGGAGCGCAGAGCTTTAAGGGGCGCAAGAAGCTCCCCCTTTAGCTCCATTCTACTCCATGTGATCCATGCACTCCATGCCATGCGAGCTGTGGAACCTTATAAATTGCTCTGTTATAAATATATTGTAGCAGCTCTAAGTAAAGCGGAACAAGCTTACGATATGCTTCGGATGATCCTCCTAGTCGGCTGGGCGATTTATCCGGCAAGGTAGAATGATTCTTCGTTTCGAAGCTGTCTCCATCTAGGTACATGCTGCACATCCTCGTCTTTCCTTCAACTTATCATCTGCATTTGAATCCCACTGGCATTCGACAGCTCGTTTTCTTGGTATCCCATTCACTCCCTCAACAAAACAGTTACGCCTGGTATCACATGGCGGGGGATGCAGAGGGAAAACTGGAACGAGAAAACGCGATGAATGCGTTGTACAACATCGGAGATTTGGTGAACAAGATCGCTTTTGGTTTGTTATGCTTTTAGAAAGATCGTCTTTCTGGCTCTTCTCCTCTGCATATCATTCCATGTGTTCTTAGTAGCGTTCCTAGAGAATTTTTGAGTGTCAACATGTAGAGAGTGATAGGAACGAAGACCCATTCCAAGTAGGAAGTGAATGTCAAGAATAGGTACATCAATCGTGAATAGGTACATCAATCAATCAATCAATCAAGAATGTGTGATGTACTAGTACAAGTTCTATTATTCTAACTACAGCAGTATACTCGGCAGCTGGTAGTGACGAGCAGGCAGAGAAAACTATGGATTACAGGGTGATGCGGATTGAGCTTCGTATCATGCGCGAGTGGATGATTAGCTTGAAGAAAATGGGTACAACATATTTTGAAAATTTTCATCAGGTCACTCAAATTGGACGTCCAGGACCTGCTCATTGCGACGAGTCGTGAGTTTTGATTTCTGTGAAAGTGGAGTATAGATGTAGACGTTACTCACGTTGTTAAGTTTGTAGTCGGTCTTTTGTAGCTGCCGTGTCTCTATTCGGGTCACGACGGAACCAGGCAGTTACTTGTAGCTGCTACGTCTCTCCATTCGGGCCCACGCCTAACCTAACCAAAGGATATCAAAATTTCAAACTCCCACTTTTCCAGGCATCGTCGACCGCAAGTTTAAGGGAGATATCAAAAGTTGGCTGAATATCAAGGGTGACGAGGCGGCTGGCAATAAGGAGGTCGCGGACAAAACTTGGATGCCACCTAAGGCAAGTAGTGGGCCAGGAATGGCAGGAGGACCAGGAGGCCCCATGAACGCCCCTCCAGGTCTAGGCTTGAGCCCACAACCACACAGCGCGAAAATACAACGTATTTCTACTTTCTTGTTTTTATTTAGACTACAGCATTGTAAGAACGGCATTTATGAAGGGGTGTTGTATACAACGTACTCACCCATTAATGGCTCAGTTCTTCGGAAGAGAAAGAGTCTTCGCAGGACAAAAATTGGGCATCTACAATTGGCCTGCATGTAGTACCAGATGTTTCCTATCACATCAGGATGATCAATTTTTTTACATGACAGCATTTTCCGGTCCCAATTCCGGACCCGGTATGTTGGGAGCTTCAAATCCTGGTGGTATTCTAGGAGCAAAGCCACCCACGTTGCTGAATACGACGTCAGGACCTGGCTTGTTTCAGCCAGCAGGCAACTCACCTAGTAAACCGGCACTATTTGTTATGAACAACGAGGAATCCCTCAATGGTTTCTGAGATGAACATTTACAATTGTTTGATGAGAAGATGGGTTGTGATTTTAGTCATTCGTAAGGACTATGTGGAATTTGAAATTGAGTTATCGACAGGCTGTGGAAGCACGTCGGATTTTTCATGAAGAAAGGTTAAACACAGCAGAATACTTGCTTCGTTACGCGAGAATTGTAGTTCTTCTTCTTCTCTTCTCCCCACTTTCTTTCATAGCCAGAGATAACCTCTCTACAAGCATGGGCAACGTTTTGGGTGCAAGTATGGGCGGAAGTATGGGGAACAACAGCAACAAGAGCAACAACACATCTGGCATTTACGCTGATGTAATGCGAACTATCCCGCCTAACGATACCATGTGGAGTGGCGACGGCTCAGGTCAAGGATTGAGCCAAAGCGGTCCCCCAGGATACAACATTAAGGCTTTGTCATTGAATAAGCAAAGGATTTTTGGAATCAAGAGGACGATCTGCCCTACCACTTGTGGATGTTCTACCTCTAGCTCCAAACCGGAGAAGTCGAAACTCTCTAACAGTAGCAACAGCCTCCACTACGAGCAACAGTGGCAGGGACAGCAATGGACCGAGGAGGAGTGGGAGCAGTGGCGAAAAGACCGAAATCAGCAGTGGACAGACGAAGAATGTTATGGCTTTCAGGTGGTTCATGCGAGGTTGTGTTACTCTTCCTCTTTTCCGGCTGGGTCAGCCTCTTTTGGTCCCCCCCTTTATATCATGCTTAATCTTTCCCTGACTTTGTGGTTCAAATCTGGTCCGCTTGCTTCAGCTCTTCAAGCGCTGCACTTTCCCTTTTGATTCTCTTACCTCACTGTTACTGTTAACTTATTACTGGTTGTTCCTTAGACTAGAGATTCATTCGGTCAACATCTTCTACTTAATACAATAGGAGACCTATCTAACAGCCGGAGCAGTGGAGAAAAGAGAAGGATGCGAGCTGGGGAGACTACGGAGATTCAGGTAGTTAATCCCTGGTGAAGTCTTGCAAGTTATAGTTTCTTAGTAATTGAAATTGTTTTTCGTGTGCACAGTAGCAGTACTTACCAACCTACAAAACCGTTATTGATACGTTGACCTTATATGCAGCTGATTACTACAGAGCGCATGTGCAAAAGTGCAGAGGAAAGAAGTTGAATTAGAAGAAGAAGCACAAGTAATTAAAAACTACACCCCCCGAATGGGTACACTACTACTACTAGTACGCGTTCTGAATGAGTGAAGTACGAAGCTTCCTTTGAAATTCCAAGCCGAGGAAAATGTCGCAGATCGCCTAGTAGATAAATGCAAGTGATAAGTTTCTGAGAATATGAGTGGAAGTTGGGATATCCGTAGTAGTTGCAAGCTACAAGCATATATTCTGTCTTGCTAGCTTCGAATAAGTTGATGAAAGAAGAAACAATTGACGAAAATCTTTGTTTTAAGTAGATAACTCTGTGAATAAGGGCTTGATTTTACCGACACATCAAACATAGCGATGTCGAGCCAGCCTGATATAGATGGTTGCTCGGCTCCTCCATAGTTTATACCTGATATTTTTGTTTGTTTCTACGCAGTGAGGGTGACAGTGACTACACTGTCCATGTTATCCATATAAGATATATGTCACTTTCAGATGAAGAAGCAAGGAGTTAGAGTACTTAGAGAACTTAGTACCTTCCTGGTGTAGAATAATACGTGTGCATAGTCCTGTGTATACATCTCTCATCTACAACAACGATCGTCGAGTTAGTCTTTTTATGTTCTTTCATGATATTCACAAAAAAATGAACAACTTGTTTACGCTCGCTGCTCGGAGGAGTACACCTACAACGACTCTCTACCAAAAATCAGCATGAACAAGTGGTTGACCATCTTCCTTGTAGGATAGATACAATGTCTAGTATGTTGTCCTCTTTTAAAGCGTCAATGGCACAATTCGTTCCGCTTCTGACGTCCTTGTTCTGAGTATTTCTCTCGTCCTGATTGGCTGATCGAACGATTCTACTTGACGCGACCTTCATATTCATCTCGTCATCTTGAAATGTAGTTGAAGTAGAAGATTCTATTGTACTTAGAAGTCCAGAAAAATGACGGCTTGCATATGCATCTGACCTTGGTTCAGGTGACTATCGGTCCACCAGACGAGCGAGTCTACGCCAGCTTTTTCGTGCGGACCGTGCTAGGCGAAAGAGTGTAGAACGTCGCACACGCGCTGCGGACATTACGCCACCACTTCGCTTTTTCCCTCCAGGACAATCTCAAATCGGTGGAGGAAAAGCTTCGAGTGGTGTGGTGCCTAATCAAATGCTTCTTATGATGCTATCAGTACTCAGATCTGGAAGATCATGATGATCAGGAAGAACTTTTGTATTCGCAGCTAGTACTAGTATTGCTTTTGCTCCTCCTACTCCTAGAGGGTTGTATCATATAGATTGCCCTAGTATCAACTCCAATCAAGTTCACCTACGTAACGTTGTAGTACTACCACGTACAACTAGAAACTTCTAATCCTCCCGACCTGAGCGCCCACGAGTCCGAATCCTTGCGTCTCGAACTAGTCGCGTCGCAACGAAGAGAGCAAGCACTACGAGAAGAATTAGTCGAACTGCAGAAACTAGTCAATCTGAGCGAGGACGAGCGCAATGCATCCTTGTGGTCGAGGATACAGAAGTTAGTGCTCATCCTAGAACAATTACAGGAAAATAGGGAAGAATAGTGCTCAACGGAAAAGATAGTGCTGGATGTGGAGTGGGGAAGATTTGTGCTTGATCTGGAGCAGGCACAGGAAGGAGACTCCCCTTAGGGACGTAAGAAAAGGAACAATCCAAGACTATTTCAAGAAAACCTCCTTCTATGTTTTCGTTCTGCATTTTCTGAGCAACCGACAATGGCGTTTTATTTTTCGAGCACAACCGAACAACCAAGTAGGATCGTGGTCGTGTTGTCAAGCTCTTGTTGATGAAACAGGTCCTCGTTGTAAGAAAAAGCATGATAATACGCTGGACTACACGGTCATCAAAGACCGGTTCTGCTATAAATTGTTGTCCACCTCACTCAACAGTACAACCACCTCTGCACGGATCTGGTATGATCTAGAGAGAAGGAAATAAAGCGCTTCTTCGTTCTCGTCTAAGAGGCGTCATTTTTAATGATAACAACATCTTCCAGTTGTATGATTAAATTATGATCATCTGTATAAAAATTTGTCTACGCCAAAGGGTCCTCGTTCTAAGATCATTCATCCAGAAAGAAAAGAGTGCAATCCTTTGCAGCGACTGCGTAAGTATCTATAGAACCACTGTATAATTTTATCCCGCCAGGCATAAGAAGTCGTGAGAGAAGAATCCAACAACCGATCCTCCAACATTTTATTCTTCTTTTCTAAACAAAAAAGAGGTAGCGCCAGTGGTGACGAGGTATATCGGTGGAGTTGCTGTTACGTTTATGCAAAAAGACTGAGTCTCGCTTCTCGCATAAATAATTTAAATTTCTATTTCACATAAGAAAAATGATTCTGTGTCTGGGTCTCTGTACAATTTCGATTTCTGACTAATGTTCTTTTCGCTTAATATGAAATTGTTCACTTTGATTATTTGGTAATTCTTAAGGTTTCTTACACTCTGTTAGAAGAAGTTCGTATCATATGTAAGCATACATGCCTATGCGTGGAATAAATCAATAGAGTAATGTGTTTATGTTGATCAGTATGAACCGCCTACTCTTTAGATCTTCCTTTATGACCCATTTTTTTCTCTTCTTGGCAGAGTGAGTGTGAGTGAACGACATGGGTCCACCTTTGATGCTTCAACGTCCCCTTCTTGCACAAAGAATCAGGGTAGTTGTGGTTTATAAGCTCTTATAACTCATACTCTTCTTGGCGCGAAGGTATATCAAACTGTACTAAGTTCTTCTATGTCGTTACTCAACTTATTTTTTCCCCATCATATTCATTTATGCATTTTCATATTCATTCATATCTAAAAACTCACAAAGTAAGAAACTGCACTATCGTAACTGCTACTCCTTTTATTTTCACTATATTGAAGTCCTAAAATAATCTAAGTTCTTATGACAGTTATATTTACCCTCATAACAAACATCAAGATCAATCCCACTCCCACAAAATGACGAGTAGTGATGACGAGTCTACTCCAAGGGTGCACGCACCACCCCCGACTCTTGTTTCTTTCGACACACCAATCGATACCCAGGAAGTGGTGGGTCCAGACCTTGGCGCACCAATCGATACCCCGGAAGTGGTGGGTCCAGACCTTGTTGCGGACCTTGGTGTAGATGATCCAGGCCACGTGGTAGACAGTGGGACGGATCAGCATCTGACTATTAGAGAACTACATCGAGCATCCTCTTCTAACTTCGTTTCCCAACAGCAGGAGCAAGAGGAAAAAAGACGAGGTTCCTCTTCATCTGCTGTTTCCGAAGTAGCAGTACCACCAGCACCAAGACAGGTCGTGCAGGAGGAAGGCGAAGGCGGAGGGGAAAAAACTAAGACCTCTTCTTCATCTCCTTTGGAGGATGTTGCACAAGCCGAAGCTCTTTCCACTTCGCTATCGACATCACAGGGTGATATACATGCTCCGCCACCAACACTCTTAGAAGAGAGCGACAATGCAACTGCTTCTAGCAGTCAAGAGAGTCCTGCTTCGGAAGATACATCTTCCAATAATAAAAGTCCCACTAATTATTCTTCTTCCAAATCCAAGCGACGAACTAGAACTACGACTGAAACAGGTTATACGACTGCACAACAAGAACGACAAGTCCACCGACTGGTCGGAAGAGATGGCCAAGTCCATCTCCTAGGGGATTCAAGTGATAAAAAACTCTTGCAGCAGAGTGGTCCTGGGATGTCATCTTCTACGCCACCATTGAAAGGGACCGGAGGGACTAGGACTAGTGAGCTTTCATCCTCGACCCCGCAAAAGGGTGAAGAACAATCAACGAGTGAAGCACAATCATCATCATCATCATCATCATCAAGGACGCGACCAAAAGTTAGAAACGAGTTGAAGAACATCAACAAAGAAGATGATGCTGCTTCGTCATCTTCTGGAACTGGAGATGGGAGAGTAGACAATGACGATGAATACGGAGATGCGCCGCCAAATACTTTGGAAGACGAACCTCATCATGATATCGAGCTTTTGGAGAAAAACAAAAAAGCTGAAAATGTTCTTCATGTGGAAGAACCCGAAGTACTTGTTGTACCTCCAGCCGCGCATGACGAAAAACAAGAAGCTTTTCTTGTGCCAGTGGATAGAGAACAAGAAAGCCGAGAGGTACAAGAAGTAGAGGCAGGTGCAGATGCAGCAATTTTTCTGCCTGACCCTTTGGTCAGTAAATGGAACGCCCCTAAGGATCGAGACCAGGACCCACCTGGCCATGCCACAAGAGAAGATCTTCTCCAGACTCTTCCGCAGAAACAGGAGCGACAGCTGCATCTTGAGGGGAGGGGTGGAGAAGGTGGACGATGCCAAGAGGATGGACATCAGCATGTAGTTGTTGTACCGGGTGAAGGTGCTGAAAAGCAACCACCACTACTACCGCAGCAGCAAGAACGACCTGAACCTCCTGTACAACAAGTAGTTGATCATCAACAGCTCCTCGCTCAACCTGAACCTGTACAAGTAGTTGATCATCAACAGCTCCTCGCTCTTGAGGACGAGGAACCGGGAACCGGAGTACAAGAAGCTTTGGAGAGTCTAGGTACCGAGACCTTTTTGAATGAAGGCTCGTTCGTTTTTGGTGCGTTCAAGGGTCGTGGAGGATCAGCCGAGGTTTACGAGGTCACGAAAGATGGACGTCGTTTTGCTATCAAGATCGTTTCCGCGAGGAACACGAAACACTTAGAGGGGTTTCGGCAAGAAGTGGAATTGTTGGAACGGTTCTCAAAAAGGCCAGAGATTATTCGATGCTACGGAAGTCGGGCACTGGATTTGAAGTTGTACATTCTTTTGGAGTATGCGGAATGCGATTTTCATCAGTACGCTAAAAGGTTTCCACAGGGGATGGCCCTGAAAACGATCGCACATTGCTGGTCCCAAATGCTGGCAGCAGTGAAAATCATCCACGAGGCGAACATTGTCCATTTCGATCTGAAACCAGCCAATTTCTTGGTCGTCAAGAGTAATTCTACTAAAACAACCTCCCTAAAACAACTCCAGCAAGAATCAAGTTCAAGCAACGACAACGACTCCATGATGATGAACAACTGCAATAATATCATTTTGAAGTTATCTGATTTTGGCTTAGCGCGCGCAGTGCAACCAGACATGACGCACATCTCCAGAAACGAACAGTGTGGAACGATCAGATACATGGCACCCGAAGCCTTTTACCAGCCAGAAGAATATTTCAGCAGCATGAAAATGACGCCAGGTTGCGACGTTTGGTCTCTTGGTATCATCCTCTACGCCTTGATCTACCTAAAAACGCCCTACGAGCATTTCGAGGGCTGCGGTAACCGCGTCATGTTCGCGATCATTGACCCTCGAATGCAGATTCAATATGCCCAGTGTCCACGCTTACAAGAAAGCAGGCCTCTGCACTTCCAGCACCTACTAGCGATTTTGCAACACTGTCTGCACCGAGAGCCGAAGCGTAGGTGGTCAGCTGCTAAGGCCTTGGAAGCCTTGGAGTTCATGACAAAAGGACTTGATGTAGTTTTGGAAGAGAGTGAGCAGGTTGGTGGAGGACTTCTTCCTAAAACAAGTTCAAGTTGTACCAAGGCCTTAATGTTCCCTGATGATGTTCAAGACAAACAAGTTGCTCCTCTACCTATAAAAAAAGAACAACAAGCTCCTTCTCCCTCTGAAGTAGTGGAAGATGTTGTTGGAGTAGGGGAGAACGAGGAGAACATTTTCGAGGAGAACATTTTCTCAGAACGTACAGCTCTGGTACCCTTATTCCCTACTACCGTCGCAACGGAGGGAACTGTCCTCTTTTGCGCAGATCCTGAAGATGCGCTTGGAGTAGAGCAAGTTGGAGGTGATGCTTCTAACCTTTCGAGGGACATCAAGGAAACTGGTGCCAAGGAAGACATGAACAATGAGGAAGAACTCCAACAGCTTCTTGTTATACAGGAAAATGAACATGAAGATGGTTCTTCTGCTTCACCTTTGAAAGGACAAGGAGATGGTAAAAATGGAGATAACTACGGAGAACCTGAACCTCTCGTCAACAAGTCCTCTTCGTGTCTGGCTGCGCGTAGGATCTGGATAATTGTAGCAATTGTGGCGGCTATAGTAGTTGTACTGGGGGTTTCTATAGGAATCGGGGTTTGGGCAGGAAACAGAGATTCAAGTGTGGGAGGACGTACTAGTACAACAAATGCAGGGGCAGCAGGAGGAGGAGGAGCTGGAGGTGCAAGAGGTGTATCATCAAGTTCAAATTCAAACTCGAATGTGGTTGGTGCAAATGATCCTCGTGGGCCAGGCTCTTCTAGCATAGTAGTTGCTCCTACGCGCAACAGGAACGACCAGCAGTCTTCTGCAGACACCGGTAGTTCTAGGGGTGGTCCTTCTAATGTTGGTGCTCATTTCTCTGTTGGCGGTGGTCCCTCCGCTAGTGGAGGCTACGGCGGTGGAGGCGGCGGTGGTGGTGGATCAGGTGGCGGCGGTGGATCAGGTGGCGGTGGTGGTGGATCAGGTGGCGGCGGTGGATCAGGTGGCGGCGGTGGATCAAGTGGCGGCGGTGGATCAAGTGGCGGCGGTGGTGGTGGATCAGGAGGCGGCGGTGGATCAGGTGGTCCACCACAACCAGATCTTGTCAGTCCTCGCCCCGCATCTCTTACTTCCGGAGGAGTGCAAGCTGTATCTGTACCAAATTTGATAAGGCTTATGATAATTCATCTTAAGAAGCCTCTTCTTTGTTAACAGGGAAGGAGACATCTTATACGGACAGAAATGTTCTTTGTTAACAGGCATCTCATACGGAAAGAAACAGCATCCTCTTTGTTAACAGCAGGGAAGGAGAACACATCAGAGATGCTTTTTAAGATAAGGAAAAGTATTATAACCTCTAACAAATATAAATACGGGAGAACAAGAACAAAAAAAGGAGACCACTGACGCTGATGAAAAACAACAAGAGGGTCCTGACACTCCTGCAGAACAAGAACATTCTCAACAAGAACAGGATGTCCATGATGAAGAAGAAATAGAAGAAGAAGAAGAAGAAGAAGAGGGCACCAACGTCCCAACTGTTCCGAACAAGGATATCCAGGATCCAGTTTGTCCGCTACAGGATGACAGAATCCAAGAGGAGAGACTAGAACAAGGAATGATCTTAAGGCTGTACCTTGTTGAGACGTATCTTTGGCCGCATCCTTGGAACGTATGTTGGAGGAGCATCCTATCCTAAGGGAAAAGGAATACTCCCACATAGTAGTTTGTTTCATGGGATAAGCCTAAGGTTTAGAGGTAAAAACTAACCGGTTGCTTTTTTTAGTGTGCTTACTTTTCACGGTGGATGCTCCCACATAGTACTTACTTTTCCCGGTGTTTGGAATACTCCCACATAGTACTTACTTTTCACGGTGGATGCACTTGAAAGATGAATTGCGGACAGCTCTAATGCTCACTCATAGGGACTGGGCTGTAGAATTTGCGGAAAAGACTTCGGGTAGCCCGCTGAAGACTCAGGCTATTCCAAATCTCTTAAACCAGGCAAAACGCAACATCGACGGCAGTAGCGGCGAACACTGTTTGGAGACCTTGCGCAAGGCAATAGTGGAGCACTATCGAGTGGACTACGAACATGCGGGGGTGAAGATGAAGGCTTCAAAGGAAAACGGAAAACAAGATTAAGGCTCAATTTGCATTGGTCACTCAGGTTGGTCACTGACACCTAAGAGGAGACCCCTCGAGAGAACAGGGGAACACGCAGGGAAAAAGGGCCCTGTCTCTTCAGCATCAGTGACCAATGTGACTGCCGACCTTTTTAGCAAGAGCAGAACAAGATAGAGCAGCAGAGCGCCAGCGTAGATGAAGTGACGCTGCAGGTAGAGCAGCAGAGCAGCATGCTGCCCCGAAGAGATCTCCTATTTTTGTTCAACGATTTGCGTTTTGGAAGGGTCTCAAAAACTTGGAGATTGCAGTTAAGATTGTGAAATTCTTTGAGACTTTTTTACTTTTGGAAGTAGATCTCATGTTATTTCAATCTATCTCGGATTTTTAGGTTCATCTGCAACCACTGCCAAACTCAGTTAGGCTTGGTTCTGCAACCACTGCCAAACTCACTGGGGCTTGGTCCGGTAACATAGTGCAATCTTGATCTTCGCCCTTTTCCATCGGGGAATTGTTACATGGAATGGTGAAGAAGTGAGTAGATTTCAGGCTTCCAAGAACCCTACTACACCCCTTTCTAAGGATTATGAAGAAGCGTGAGTTGGTGTTAAACACGAACGAGGCAGATCCAATTGCTACGCGACTGGAACTGAAATCAATGACACAGGGGCATCTTCTGCTCTTATCGCTGCTAATCCAAGCTGACGACGTCCCTCCGGAGAAGACGAATGTTATGCCCATTTGAAGGAAAGCACGACTTGGTATTTTTTGTTGTTTCCCAAAACAATCAAGTAGAGGAATAGAATGAAGTACTTGTTCATCTACATTATTTTTTTTTTCATTCGTTTTCTTTTCCAGTACCTCGCTCGGCGTTCTACGTAACTAAGTATTAAGTATTGGATATGACGACTTTGACTCGGACTTCCCACTACTTGAAGGTCTTCGCAAGACAAATTCTTTCACAATCACAGTAATCACATCACTAGATTACTATCACGTCCGCATGCCCTTACCTTACACATTAGTTGATCCAGTGAATATTTTTACCACATCCACAGTCAGGCAGATGTACATTTCTTAGAGCGCAAACAGAAAAATAAATGTCAAAGAAGGCCCAATCTGTCCGGCAGGTGCTTCTGCTGACTTTATTCAAGTCGCCCATCATCCTCGGATGTATTTAAATTTATTAGATTACTAATGAGTAGATGCACACTCAGTATTGCACTTTAGCTGCGTCTCTCTGCTTCAAGACGCGAGCGCGTGCTCTTCTTTCAGGAACATGAGTGCTCCTGTAAGTATAACACGAGACTCACGAAGAATGCGTTATCCTTCGTCATTATACTTCTATGATCTTACTCTGTGGTTATGTTCTTACTTCTAAGTGGTTATGTTCTTACTTCTATGATCCTCTCCTTCTCTAAGTTCGACGACGTAGTCGTCAATATTCGCAATGCGGAAGCAGCGGAAGTGTTTGTTGAAGAGCAGCTGCGTAAGAACAAGGAGATTTGGACGAAGAAGAAACAGAAGCGACAGGCTGAGAAATCCAAATTAGTGAAAGAAATGCGACCTCCTACGGTATTTGCGAAAATCATTTTAGCATTACTTCGATCCGCGGAAGAAAAAGTACAGCGCACTATTGAGATACAACAGTCAGACGAGACGCAGCGCACGACAATAAAAACAATACAGCAGCCAAAAACGGTAGAGAGCACGACAAGAGACTTGTCTCACAGCGCTGAACAGCAAATTCTACGTACTTTTTATGAGAGAAATCTCTCTCCAGCGCCAACATCAACATTTTCAACTGCGGGGCGAGACGCACTCACTACTGAGGAACTCACAGCGGTTTTCCTAGTACGCAGTACACGGTGGAAACCTGGCGATGTCTACTGGCTTTATGATTTGCAATATAATCCAACAAATTCGGAACTATCTAAAAACTCTATTTTGTAATCAGAGGCTTCTTAGTTACATATTTATAAGTACATCCTCGAACCTCTAGAAGAATAGCTGCTACGTGAGTTGTTGTAGCTTCTACGAATTATTTTTTTTTGTATCTGCTTCTAGTACGTGGCTCCAATCAATAAAGCAATGATATACCTACCTCAAGTATTACTCCACTATATTCCCGACTTAATATTACAAGGACGCTATTTAAAGCAACGGGGAAGGCTTGGTAGTTGTACCTCAGTAATGTCGTTCTTCTATTTTTAGCTCTAACACTTGCCTCGCCACGATGATCCAGCGCTAGTGCGACGCGTGGAAGCTAGTGCCGAGGAACCAAGAAAGATTCGGCAGATGAAACATGGAGAAGTGAAAGACTTCGTTGAGAAAATGGAGTATTTTTCAGACGAAGAAAGAAAGAAGCTATTTGAGCTGGCATTCTACCCGTCTGCTCGCCCGTCCAGCCATGACTTGTCAGATGAAGAAGATCGATCTCCGAGGACGTTGATGTGTACACCACTAGATGCCGCCAGATTTTCAGCGGTCCTCAACTTTGCTGCTGCACAATTTACTAAAGACGATCATCGACTCTACGAATACGATCAAGGAGAATCACAAGATCCAATGCCAAGGTCAGACTTAGCTCCTTCGACCTTTAGAGGATGGCAGAATAAGCTGTGGGAGACGGAGAAAGAACAAGAAATAAAGCAGTGGGAGACTCAACCAAGAACAGCTGAAGAAGCTCCTGCAAACAGTCTGAATCTCTCACCAGCTGCCTCCAGTCTGAATCCAGCGTATTCTGATGCTGCGAGTGTCTTGTACGCTCTTGTCTTTCCTCGTCCAGATGGAAAGATTGCAAATTTACGGCCACTTTCCAACGAACCATAAAGAACCCGATCTTTTTTTTTTCCAAGCTGCGCATCTTTTATTACCACCATCTTCATGCCTGGATCTTCTCGGCTTTCTTCTCATGCTCACGCCAGTTGTTTCCCATTCCATAGTTTCTAATAACAGATGGGTACAGTTATTTCCCATTCCATAGTTTCTAATAACAGTTATTTCCTAGTCCAATAACAGATATTAAGTCGTAGTACAACTTTTCAACATTCCATAGTTTCTAACAAGTGTAATAAACCCGAGGGTTCTCAACCTGGGGGAGTCGCGCACTTGGGGCTCACTCGTTTTGGAGTATGATCAACCGCTAGAAGAGAGCACTCACTTTTCTCGGGATAGCCGAAATGAGGGAAGCGATCGCAGCTACTTATGGTCTCTATGGCGAAGCTACGCCGAACAACAGCAGCAACACTTTGTGAAAAAAGACGAAGGTCGTGCAACTGAGGAAAAACTGGCGCATGATGCGGAGAAGAACGAAGCTGCTGTCGAACAGGAGAAAGACGAAAGTGGCTCTCCTCCACAGGTGCTCCCTTTGCAAAGAAGTACTAAACCTCCTTCTCCGTTTCAGGAATGGCTGCGTAAGGAAGTGGGCGGCACGCACGGCAGCATTAAGGCCTTGCCTAATCCATCTTCGAAAGCCACATCTGGAGACCGTTTCTTCCGGCAAGGGGATGGTAGATGTAGCCATACCATAACGGTCTCACCAGGATGGTGGTTTCCTTTTTTTTAAGATGGGGGTGGATCATAGATTGGCGGGGTGAGCTCTAACATCAGTTGGATCAAGCAGCAGAGGCCCTTCACGTGGGCCGCCAATTTTCAACAGATGCTGATCGATGAGTCTTTGAAAGAGCGCACCTTGTTTCCGACAGGGTCGATCTACCCACGATGCCGTGGCCGATACACCGGAGGATTCTCGAATTTCGCAGCCTGGGCGAAAAATGCCGCTAGACAAGCACTGGAGACTCTTCAAATAGTCCAAAGAGACACGCGCGCCCTTTTTGACCCGTATAGAAAGGCACTGGAAATAGAGATCCCCAAGGAAATAGAAAAGAAGCTCAAAGAGGTCAAAGCGCGAGTACGTGAACTCGAAGTGGGACAAGCGCAAAAGCCTGACCTCGAAGATTCAACAACCAAGCGAAGGAAAGACCCCCTTGCCTTAGCGAAAGAAGCGCAACAGAGTATCCAAAAAGACCAAGATCACTTTCGTCAAGCGCCAGGGCTCGCACGCGACCGCATTGACGAGGAATGTGGCGTCCACTTTGAACCGAAGAGGCTGCGTTCCGCAGTCCATAACGAGCAGCAGAATAGCAGCGTTGTCTATTTTATCGAGAATTATACTGTAGCGTTAGGACTATAGCATTGCATATTATTCTTCATCTCAATAAGTTGCAAGAAGCATCTTTGACTCGTGGTCTTTGTTTTTCAAGGGGCGTAAAGATCTGTCAGAGAACGGCTCCTTCAAGGGGAAAAGAGGTATGCTTGACACGGTTTCAAGGGGAATCAATAATAGACCTCTGTCAAAGATGCGCCGCTTCAACATGATCTTCCAGATGAATTATAAAAAAGGGAAGGTCCTCTAATAGTACCTCGTGAGTGGGATTCTCTTGGCACCGTTGAGGTAGAGCATTTACATCAGATGCGGCTCAGGTGTCGATTCTTCAGTCTTCTCGTCGGCACATCCCGGACCAGGTTTGAGCATTTAGCAGATGGAGAACTCAAAATGCGTGACTTGACCCCTCTCGAGTTCGGGAACTTGCTATTGAGTCGTGCGACTCTGAGGCCCCGGGGGGGTGACTCGGAACTTCCCTGGGAAAAAGCAGTTGTCGCAAACCTAAACGAAGGCCGACCAGGATATGCCACACAAGTAGAGGCCCTAGGAGATGCAAAGGAGGTGATTATCGGACTCGCCCATGGTCTCTGGCCTGACGCTCGGAGCGCAATAGAAGAACAGTTAAGCGTAGGCTCTTAAAGGGACTCATGTTGCCGTTTGTTTTGCTTCTCGTAAGGGAGAGAAGCATACCAGATGGGGTTACAAACACCAAAACCCTACCTCTAAAGTAAGTTGCTCCAGATGGGACTGATTTTCACGAATTTGCGAAGAAGCGGATGCTTGGCCGGGAGTTGGCGCCCAAGCTCCTGAAGCAACTTGCGCACCCACTCCTTTCGCAGTTTCAGTCCATTCATCGCTTTGACAATAGTCTAAAAAAAGGAACTACGTCGAAAAAAACAACTAGAGCTACGTCGAGTACCTTTTTTTCGAATTATCCTCCTTCACGAGGTGAGACATGTGAAGACATGACTGATGTTAAAACGCGAGCTACAAGTCTTGCTCCTGATACACAAGAATATCGACAAAATCAAGGAGCCAAGAACCAAGTAGAAGAGACAAGGAGCCAACCTCTGGAGGCCGACGATCGTGAGGGCGAGGAGTGGAACCCGGATGGCAGTCACAAGTTCAAACTCCTCTCAGACGGAGAGCACTGCGGCCCATGGCGCCTCGTGCTGTTTGATTTTAAGGCTTCGAAATTCCTTGTGAAAAATGTGAGAAGGCTGAGCCTTTCTTTATTGCTTTGGCCCCTCCCCTCCTCGGCTCCTGCTAGCTGCTATTACTCTTACAAAAACAAATATATATGCTGCCTCTTTTATATGTTTTAGGGCTGCGCGGTACCCTCCCCGTGGTATGGTCTGTGGTGGCGCGCGCGCGCGCTTTTCCGCGCTGATTTTCGCGGATTCCAGTGGTGGAAGGCGTCAAAACTTGGCGCGGGCGTCCCCTTGCGCCTCTCTGCGTGTTCCTCAGGGATCTCCTGGCCCCTGCTGACCGTCGCAGGCGGGAGGTCTCCGGGGTAAAAGGCCGCCGAAGGCTGCCACGGTCTCAAGAGCAAGCAAGCCGATCGCCAAGGGCCCGGAGGGTACAGGCCGCACGGCTCAGGGGGTCCAGCCCCTCGCCTTTTGCCGCCCTCGGGGGCCTTCCGTAACCGGCGCACTGCTGCGGCGGCGAAGCATATAGGAGGCGCGTAGGGCACAGGCAGGCACCTGGAAGGGGGCGCAGGCGGTCCCCTGGGCCCTTTTTGACATCGGAGGCCTGTAGGGAACAGCCACGCAGCTGGAAGGAAGCGGAGGAGGCTACTTGGTCCCCTTTTGAGGCCTTCCACCCCCGGCAGGCGCGCTGTAACAAGGGGCCCGGGCTACCGGTGCCCCCCCTACGCTAGTCCTAGTAACATGGTCCTCGCGACTCTTCAGGTATAGTGCTGTACTCCGTGAGTGGGTTACTACTGCTACTTTCTTCAGGTATATTTATATTAACGCTTAATGCTCTAACGTATACCCAGCTATGGGGGCGACGCCCGATCGAGGGATGGGGGAGATGTCCGAGGAAAAGTTTGCCGAGTTTCTCCGGCGCGAAAGAGGCTACAGCATAATTAAGACTACTGCAGATGTTGAAAACGAGGACCACATGCCAAATCATTATAGTACAAGTACAATGGATAGATGCTACAACCAAAGGACAAGGCAGCGTTGGTGCAAAAATCTACTGAATGACTATGCATATGTGGATATCAGAAAGGAAGAGGAGAAGGTCTCTAGTACGATGACCCACAGCATGCAGGACCTTGCCGAGATGAGCAAGAAGGCCAACACGTCTTCAGTCGGAATTAGTACATCAGTAGGAGATGAAGTAGTTAATAATAGTACAAGTAGCAAAAATGTCACTACTGGAGGTAATAGTACTAGTGGCACTAGTACTGGTTCTGGTGGTAGTAGGTCTTCCCCGGTTCCGCACGACGTAAGGACCAAAGGTGGACCTCCATCTCCATCTCGATCTCCTTGTATCCGGGATTTTCGGTATATGACAGGAGCACAATTTCGGGAGAATCAAGATGCTTTAACCGCGTTCTTGTCCTTCTTTGCTACCAAAGGGAGCCAGAAGTTTTGGGAAAGGGGTCTGCACGGCGGAGCTAGCGGTGCCTCGCTTGTGGTAGATCTGTCAAGCGTTGCGGAAAAACAGAGCGAGTGGAGAGAGGGAAAAGATGGTGGAAGACAACAGGTAGCGATTCTCGAGCAGCTGGATCATGTCCGGGACTTTTTAAAGCGAACAGCCACTGAGGAACTAGCTTTCTCGAACCTGACATCAAAGACGACCACGACACTATTAAGGAAGGCTACCTCCGCTGAAGCATCATATCCTTTTTTTCTAGGCTCAGACTGTTTTTTATTTGTTGGAAAGAGAATCACTGCGCTCTGGTCTTCCTCGGTCCATCTCATCATTAACACCATGAAGATCCTTGGAGGTTCCTGCTTTTCAAGTGGTGGAAAAAGAAGGCTGGCTCCTCCAAGGATATCGTGGCTCTTGAAGAGGAAGATGCGGCCGCGTGGTAGCTCTAAGAACAAAGAAAACAGCACTACAGGAATCTTCGCGGAAGAAACAAGGACGGACAAAAGATGATGGTGAACAAGAAATAGAAATTTCTGCGCCTACTTCTCCACGACCTAGTAGCAGACCGATGAAGACAACAGAATTAGGCGGACGAGACCGAAATCCTCAGTCAGATGAAGACAACAGACCGGTGAATACTCTAGGCGGAGACCGAGATCAGCAGTCAGTGTTTGTTCCAAATCATGGCGCCTTCGAAGTTTTTCCTTCACGCGGTAAAGATCTCCGAGGAACACGCGTGCTAGATGACGGACTACTACTAGATGACGGACTTGGAATACCTGATGGTGATGGACCTGATGGACAAAAAAGTTAAGGCGCCTTCCCCCACTCCATCTCTACTATAGACATATGCTTGCGGGATCCCGCAAGCAGAAGCATAATTATATGCCTCCCAAGATGAATACAAGGGAGATAGTACTCTCACTCTACTAAGTACTTGAGGCATCCATATTCTACTTGATGAGGGATCTACTCCACAGGAAAGATGAATTGAAGAGAACAAGTCCTCTAAGACGAGAAAAGTGATGCTGCAACGGTAATCTGGCACCCGCGTGACCTAGCAATCGATGACCCAACTGTGGACACACATTGGAAACGTTCGCCTTTCTCTTCTTTGCTGGCGACGAACCTGTTTTTATCGAGGCTCCTCGTTTTGCGGGCGCACATTGTCGAGAACCCGCTCGACGATGGAGGCTATCATATACCAGAAAGTGGATACGTATTTCATCCCGATGCAGAATTTGAAAACCCCTTGGCAACAAATCCAGAAAGCAAAAGTGATCAGCATTTGTTTCGGATTGTGAGGACAGGAGAAAGAGGCGATACTAGAGGTGGAGGAAGTAGTGGCGGATACAACGACCACCAGGGTGGCCACTTAAGGACTACCACATTGCATTCTTCGCTACCATCTAACTTGGCTTTTTTTCCAGCAGGTGGAAAAGGGCCAGGGATGATCTGAAGAATGCGCAAAAATGTCGCAACCTCTAAAACGCGGCATTTTTTATTCAGAGGAGTACGCAGCGGCGCTGTCGAAGGGAACGCTGACTGTCTTGGGGAGCATCCGAGTCGAAGAACAGACTCGAAGAGCGCTCCTTCCGGAGCAGCATGCGCCACACGTCTTAGCTTCGTCCACGGCAGCAACAGCGTTCCTTCCAAAGCAGCATCTTGTTGTACCAGCTGAGGCCCCTTCACAGCGGCATCTTCGATCGCGTCTACAAGAACATCAAGGTCGTGTTGAAAATCCCCCGCGTTCTGACCAACAAGTTCCTCGTGTTGAAAGACCTCCTCAGCAAGTAAAAGACCTCGAGTATTATTTGCAGATAGAAATGCCGTCTTGGAAGGCTCGGTCTGTGCCTATGTGTGTCCCGAATCGACGGGAATTTCGATCGGAGAGATTATGAATCATATCCGCTCTTGAGAGAGTACAGCATGATAGACCTAATAATGAGCAGCTTGTTGTATCATAAAAAGCACCACTCTAAAAATGAGCAGCTTGTATCATAAAAAGTGCCACTAATTCAGTACCCCTCCACACTAAATCATGATAGAGTCTTGGTTGGGTTTCCTACTACTACTACTACTGCTACTACTACTCCTACTACTTGCTTACTAGTTGGAGACGAGCAGCCAGCATGTTTATACTTGTTCCACTGAAACCGCTTCTGAGAGAGTAGGACGAGTACACCGTCGCTAGTTGTGTACGAAGAAGTATTACAAGCAAAACTGTTTACTTTCACCCCTGCCTCTACTGGTGCAAGAAAATCCAGTGGCATGATCTTCTGCGACGCTGGTTAGACTAGAAACATCAACATCATACTTCATACCCATCAACATCATACCCATCAACATCATACCCATCAACATCATACACATCAACATCATACCCACCAACATCATACACATCAACATCATATTACACATCAACATCGTACACATTAACATCATACCCATCAAACAACATCATACATCGTACGCTGATCAAAAGCTGAGAAAAAGAGAAGATCGAGATTCAACATCCATCGTGCAAACGAACTCTCTAACAATAGCATGCTTCGATAAGGAAGCAATCCGCATACTCGAACCTCATACCAAGAAACTTATGGTCTTCGGCTCCTTTCAGTAGCATCTTTCTTGTTCATCTTCCTTCAGTCGCATCTTCTCCTCGGCTCCTTTCAGTCGATCTTGCTTCAGTAGCATCTTCTCTCGTTCTTGAGTATGTTGTGGTGTAGTAATCAACAGCAACACATGAACAATCAAGCAGAGAATTGATCATATTCTAGCTGTCATAACTGTAGAAGATAATCAACAGCAACCCTAGTAGAAATGTTGTTGTGGTCCCGACTAGTACTAGTTTAGCTGTACTACATGTAGGCGCAAGAAAAGGCTTTTGTTGAGTCCTCACGAGTTTACTTATACTATAGGTCTATTAATAATAATAGTGTACTGAAATACTAGTACAAGATCAGCAGAATGCTACAACATCAGCAGAATAATATCAGAACGGCAATAGTACGACCCAAGGACGTATCACCCATTGCAATTATTTAAGAGTTATATATAAGATTTTAAGAAGTCCTCTTCTAATTTAAGACGAGTCCCCCGTAAAAATGAAAATGGACGTGTCGTTACTTTGGCCGAAGTCTTTTGGCGACCTGAGACAATTGGTTTTACTACTGACTCAGATATACAGTTTTACCTACCCCCTCTTACGGGAGGAGACTTCTTAAGGCGAATATTAATTTCTAGATAATATTCATCTCTTGTTGGCGCGCGTCTTCGTGGTCCTTGAAAAGCTTTTCAAGGCACCAGACGAAGCAACGTCTAAGACGAGATGAATTGCGGCCGAGACCTTTCCTCGTCTAAGAGACGGAAGCGTAGACGGAACAAGCGTAGGAAGTGGAGAGAAAATTGCTTTGGTTCCTGGACCTGGTGACTTATCCGACTTATCCCTGCGTCTATTAAGGCTCGAAAATATTCACATGCGCGTCTTGCTCTTGGTCGTGATCCCAACTTCTTTTGTATATCCACGACATCTTGCTCGACTTGGTCCTGATCCGCACTTCTTTTCTGCTGTACAAGGGGTTAGTAAGTTCTTAGTTTGATTAATTGATATTTTCTATAGATGATGCATGCCCATTCTATTTATCTAAAATTACTATACTATTATTTCTAGTCCCATGGCCTTTTCAAAAGAGATGAAAACGGAGATCACGACTCAGAAAATGATGTCGTTTTAGATGGCTTTGCATTTAAGTACCCTCTCAAGACAAGAACTACTTCTACAAGGTCTTTTTACAAGAAGAAGGTCTTTCTACACGACGCAAGGTCTACTTTCTAATATTCGTACAACATCCAGCACCTCCGATCAAAGGAGACGCCACCGACGAAAGAGGAGAGAGTTTCTTGCGTTCCGGAAGAGAGGGCGTTGTGACTCCAGAAGAAGGTATCTCAACGAAAGGAGGCCTCTCTCTTCGTCTAGTCGACCCCTTTTTACGCTCTGTTGCTGCCCAACTCATAAAACGGAGCCGCAGCCTCGTCGCGGAACGAGAACCAGATGCAGGGATTTTAAGATGAAGTAGTAGAAGTACTAGTCTCTACCGCTATCTAAAGTCTGGAGGATGTCTAAACAAATTTAGATCAGAGGTACGAAATACAAATAGCTACAAATAATATAAATATAGATGAGATAGTACTAGTAGATATGCACTTGAATGATCTTGCTTTTTTCGGTAGTTTTTGTTTTTCCTACTAGTTAGGTCTGCTCAACCACTGTAAAGAGATGACAACAGTCCTCAGGATTTACTACCTAGTGCGTAGTGTGGTACCAAGTACCTGGGAACACCTACCCCATAAATGGCATGAGGCACATTAATGATGAAGTACGTTAATGATCTCCATTCACGACGAACAAGTAGCTTCACATTTATTCATAATAACAAGTACAGTGGTATTGTAGAAGTTGTGCTAGTCCGTACCCGTAGTAGAAAATTGGCTATGGTACTAATTCTATCATCTTCTCCCGTTCTTGTTTCTACTTCTAGTAGGTCATGACCACCAACACAGATGGATAGGAAGATGGATGTACTACCAGAAGCGTGACGATAACTACCCTTTTCTCTCTTCCTCTGGTCTTTCTTTTTTCTAGTTTGTTAGGTCCGTCTGCTCCAACACAATCTATACCACCGCAAATCAATGGACAAGCCGAACCGTATGGGCCGGGTGACGTCGCCGCAACGATATCACACCGTCAGCAAGCAGACATCATCGCTCTTTTGTTAAGCGAGGAGGTCTGATTCTGATGAAAGAGAAAGAAGTTCCAATACCTGTCCTTTTACTCTCTTTCTCATCTTTACGTAAAAGGGGTTGGTAGTTTTTACAACTGCTAATAAGCTCTGCTCGCAGGGAGGTGGAGACGGGACAAGAATGAAGGATCAGGGCGATGAAGCACGTACATTTAACTCTACGAGGGGTGACGAAGCACGTACATTTAACTCTCCGAGGGGTGTTGATGAAGCGTGGTTCGAATGAATAAATGTGGAAGAACAACGTGGAAGTACAACGATCAGGAGGCGGAAGTACGACACTGCTGCAGGAGTGGAAGAACAACAATGAAGAAGTGGATGACGATCAGGGGGGATTAGCGAGGATCATTTTGCAAAGTGCTTGTTGTAAAGTAGGTTGTTATAGTTCCTTCTTCTTTCTCTTGATCATAAATTTTCGCAAATTTTTTACAAGGAAGGTAGGAAACAAAGTGCAAGTAGTTGGAAGCCTCTTCACAAGGTTGGAAGAGTACTGCGTTCAACGGGAAGATCAAGGTTCCTTGAAGGTTCTTGGAAGTGCTAGGTAGGTTGTACTAAACAGTTTTAGAACGCCATGATGCTACCAAAGAGATCATGAAGACGATCTTGAGTGAAGATAAAAATGATGATCTAGCTCGTCCATAGCTACCACCTAGAGTAATTCGCGATTTAGGTCATCAATGTAACGCCCTTCGTCCATAGCTACCACCTAGAGTATAATTCGCGATTTAGGTCATCAATATAACGCTCTTCGTCCTTCTTCTAACTCGCATGTACTTCTACCACGTACGTCGAGGGCCTCCCGCATCATCGTTTTACTTACTGCGAGAGACCTCATTCTGCCGAGTGCCCCCTGTTTACTTTGTTTGAACAAAACACGACTCAAAGTAATGAAGACACGCCGTAGTTATAAGTACTTCTACTTTGTATATTCTTGGAGACATTTTCTTCATACTGCGTACGTCTTCATACTGGAGACCTTCATATTGGAGACGTGTTTTCATGAATGGTCGATGTCTATGCAGCGAGGGAGGCTGAAATAAAATGTCCCCACGGAGAACGTGTCACATCTCCACAGAGAACTTCAAACTTTCAACTGATGTCCGAGACTGATGGTGGATGTCGATCAACTAGATCTTAGTTGCCACCTACATCTGATAAAGCAAGGGCTGCGCTTGCTCCTGTTCTGCACGCTCATGACCTTAGTCTCAGAAAACATCGGTTTCACGGCAAAAATTCGAAAAAAATTCGGCTCCATCTTGAGGCCTTATAACTCATGAGAGAGGGCCAGACGGTTCTTTCTGCTTTTCTTAGAGCGTCGGAGGAGAAGATGCCACATCACAGGACGCACGGCATCATCTGTAACACAAGGACATTTGATGTGCCAGATCTGTCGCTATCCACGAAGCGCAACTCCTAGACGGTCGAAGGTGCCACATCCGTCCACTAGGCGCATCTCCTAGGCGGTCGGAGATGCCGCATCTGTCCGCTAAGCGCATCTCCTAGAGGGTCGACTAAGCGCATCTTCTGGAATGAAAGAGGACCAGATATCTTCTTTTGAGTGAAATGGGCGAACCACGTCTCTGAGAGAGAGAATAATGGCGATAAGGCGCCATCGTGTTGTACTCCTCTGACTACTGCGCATGACTGGACCAAACTACCCACACAGATTTTTCCCGTCCTCTTCCCTTTGCATTTTGGACGCCCCCACCCAGCGAATGGGTTTACTACCGGTGTATCCACTACGCTTGTGTCTTGAGACAAGTCTGAGCTTGCCCGTCAAACAACTCACGTTGTGAATTCCTAGCCTTGTTTACCTATACTCCTGCGTTTTTTGGCTGTCTAACAACCTTCTATAAAAAGGTTGATGCGAAATTGTGGGCTGTCAGACAACGGGGAAAATTAGTCGATGAATTCGTTCTTCACGAAAGGCAATGCCAGTGCCAGAAAATCCAAATATCGCGAGCTGAGCCTCTAGTACTAGTACTAACAGGTGCGGAAATTCGGCGAAAGTGCAGAAGCGCACTTCAGGGCGGACAGGATGAGATAGGCTTGTGATGATGATGTGTGTTGTCAGGTCGGGGCTACGTCGTCAGTATTTCTGTTGCATGGTGCTTATGCAAGAATGGTGCTGATGCAAGTATAGGTAAACAATGCAAAAGTACAAGTGCTTCAACTCCATACCAAAGTTTCTTTCTTCACAATCATCACGATCGCACAATCCAATCTTCTCTCCGCCATAGCCACCTCGCTCTGCGCTGGTGCAATCAAATCTTCTCTCCGCCATAGCCACCTCGCTCTGCGCTGGTGCAATCAAATCTTCTCTCCGCCATAGCCACCTCGCTCTGCGCTGGTGCAATCAAATCTTCTCTCCGCCATAGCCACCTCGCTCTGNTAGCCACCTCGCTCTGCGCTGGTGCAATCAAATCTTCTCTCCGCCATAGCCACCTCGCTCTGCGCTGGTGCAATCAAATCTTCTCTCCGCCATAGCCACCTCGCTCTGCGCTGGTGCAATCAAATCTTCTCTCCGCCATAGCCACCTCGCTCTGCGCTGGTGCAATCAAATCTTCTCTCCGCCATAGCCACCTCGCTCTGCGCTGGTGCAATCAAATCTTCTCTCCGCCATAGCCACCTCGCTCTGCGCTGGTGCAATCAAATCTTCTCTCCGCCATAGCCACCTCGCTCTGCGCTGGTGCAATCAAATCTTCTCTCCGCCATAGCCACCTCGCTCTGCGCTGGTGCAATCAAATCTTCTCTCCGCCATAGCCACCTCGCTCTGTGCTGGTGCAATCCAATCTTCTCTCCGCCATAGCCACCTGGCTCTGTGCTGGTGCAAACCAATCTTCTCTCCGCCATAGCCACCTGGCTCTGTGCTGGTGCAAACCAATCTTCTTTCCGCCGCGAGTCCAACAGTCGAATGTTGAATTTTTTTCAAAGTCGAGGAACAACGCCTTGCCGATGTGCAAAAAAGAACAGGATCATGTGCCAATTGCTTTGCCGCTGTACCAAGAAGAGCCGGATGCTGCACTTGGTCATCAACTCCCCTGCTCAACTGCTCTACTATCTGTCTCCCTGCTCGGCTGCTCTACTACCTGTCAACCTGCTCAACTGCTCTACTACCTGTCAACCTGCTCTGCGCCCTAGCAGCTCGCTCTATGACTTGCAATTAGTCAGAGCAAAAACTTGATGAGCTGCAGTCCGCCGTCCTCAAAATGATCCCACTGTCCTCCGTTTGCTGCAACATCTTCCTGGCCTTCGTTCAGCTCGCAACTGCGCTGCTGTGGCTAGTCATGAGATATTTCTTCAGCGCGTCTTGATGTCGGACGTCCCTCAACATCAGTCAATCACCTATCCTTGCATGCACGCTACGAATCAGAACTTTATTTTTGACAGCTTCACCTGTCGCCGCTTTTGAAGCAATGGGGCACTGCGTTCACGGCATACTCTATTACATGCGTCTACTCCTTGTGCTTCGGCCTCCTTCGCGACTGAGCGAACCATGCAGCGCCTCTGCTTTGCTTTTCTGAGACAAAGTCCACAACTACAAGCTTGAAATCCGATCATGAGATGTCTTGATCTTGGTGGCTCTTCTAGAAGGTCTGTCGGGTCCTACTAGGGCCTCTCCCGTTTTTGGAGGTTCATCGCCCCAGTCCCAGGTCCCCTTTGACGTTCATCTGCTTCTAGAACGTCCCGCGCTTTGCCATTATAATCTGCTTCTAGAACGTCCCCGCGCTTTGCCATTAATCTGCTTCTAGAACGTCCCGCCCTTTCTTGACGTTCATGTGCTTCTAAAACGTCCCGCCCTTCGACGTTCATGTGCTTCTAAAACGTCTCCCCTTCGGAGTGCGACGTTCATGTGCTTCTAAAACGCCTCCCCTTCGGAGTGCATCTGCATCTAAAACGCCTCCCCTTTGGAATAGTGTGCATCTGCTTCTCGAACGTCTTTCTCTTTCGGAATGCATCTGCTAGAGCGCCCCTTAAAGTAAGTCTATCTGCTAGGATGTGCCCTTTGCGGTTCATCTGATGCTAGAACGTCTTTGCCTGGAGGCTCGCCTAATGCTAATGTAGAAGCTGCCTTTCCAATGTAGAAGCATACTTCGCCTAAGTAGTTGCACTACTTAGAGTGTCTCCTGTGTCCTCCCGCCCTTTCAAGTACAGGTAGGCTCATCTGCTTGCTTCTAGAACCACGTCTCGCGCTCGCGGCCCTTTAAAAATGTAAGTTGTTGAAGTTTTTTATCCGCTAGAACGAAGTAGAAAGCCCCTTGGAGGAAGTTTTGTTGTAAATATAAGCCTATTGCGTGTCTAAGTAGAACTTCCCTTCTTGAAGGAAGTCTTGGTGTCTAGTAGAAGTTGTAAGTCTTGAAGGAAATTTATCCGCTAGTAGAAGTAGAACGTCCGACAAAGTAAGTCTATGATCTCCTGCTAGAGTCTCCCTTAAAGGAAGTTCATCTGCTGGAACGTCTGCCTTCGGAGTTCATCTGCTGAGGGGCTCGCCCAATGCTAGTATAGAAGCCAGACTCGCTCGCTGCGCTCCTGCTCCATGCTGATTGGCCACTTCTTCATCTCTGAGTGTCCAAGTTCATATCCTTGCTTAGAGAACTTTTTTCTGGTCTACTTTCGACAATTCTTGAGCCGACCCCCTTCAAAAACACAATATTCTTTAGACCCCACCTTCAAACAGATGGAAGAAAACAAGAAGCGTTAGAGGACCCCTTTTAAAGAAGAAGCTTTGGATTTCAAATTCAAACTCAAGTCGCTAGCTGCCCTGTATCCCCTTGCGGGCGTAGTCTACACGCTTAAAAAGAGGATCGTTTGACCCCTGAAAAAGAGGATCCTAGTTGTTCCCGCTTTCCTCGTCGAGGATCATCCTCAGTCTCATCTTCATCTCTCTCTTTCATCTTTTGAATTTAAACGATAAAAACCCTCAGTTTTTTATGCTCAGACATTCGCATGCTGCTAAATGCTCCTGTGAAGACAAGCGGCACCATTCGAGAGAATTGCATTGACCGAAGAAACGATGAACACTTTGTTGATCATGGTCCTCGCTGTTGCCTACAACAAGGAATAGGAACTACAAGGAGCAGCCTTTTTCTTAACTCAAAAATAAGTAAAAAAGGGCTGCTCTTTGTAGAAGAGGGCTTTTGTTTGAGTAGATGAAGTTCGAAGTTGTCACATTTTGTTGTTGCGGCGGTACTCGGATTGAGTCGGCGTAAGATTCATCTATATACTCAATAAGTGCTGTTCTTGAAGAGATGGAAGGATAAGTGCTGAACATACTCGACTGCGGACTACTTTGATCCAAGCTGCCACCGAGCATGGTGAAGCAGAAGATTTTCCCCCACTTCTCTGCGCAACTTTTGAAATTGAATGAACCACCCTCCCCCGTCGTTTCCCGCCTTTTTTATATTTCACTTCAACATCCCCTTATTCTACTCACTTCTACTCAGAAGTTCGTTGCTTTTTTTTTGGGACCCCTTTCCCATAAACTCGGACTGAGTCAAGAGGAAAGGGCTTTTTTCATGATATTATTCCGGGATCGCTACAGGAGAATGAGAATCCCTTGTAGGAGAATCCCTTGCAGTTGAAGAAGGATCCAGGAACACTACATCAATCGGGTCCCATGTAGAAGTTGAAAAAGATGAAAACAAGAACAACAACAAGAACGCCTCCAGCTCTACTACTAGTTTTACCACGACCACACTTGAAGTCTACAACCCATATCAATTTGCCCAACAACTGCGAGTACGTGGAAAAAGGAGTTGAGCTGATGTCCCCATGAAAATGAGTTTTGTTGTCCTCGTGCTCTCGTCTTGTAAGCGCCGGTCTAGCCTTATAAAATTTCGAAAAAAATAAGTGACCCTACATCTCTTCTACTAGTGGGAGATGAAGAATAAGTGTCCTTTTGTCTCTCTTTCAAACAACATCAAAAAAATATCATCGTTTTTTTAATTTCAAATATGAATCTATGACGAAGTTGCCCACGATGAAGAAAGGCGCAGGGGCTGACAACTTAGTAGCTACTACACGGACTGTAGTTACTACAGGGTAATATGCGAACTCATCGGTAACTGTCAGTGATGTTGGAGGCCCTTCTCGTGGTCTGGATGGATCGATCAACCACTCAGAGAAGGAACGCGACCGGGATCGCCTGGCCTTAACAAGTTCTTGAAGGACCCACTCAGAGAAGCAAGTTGGGGGACCCACTCAGAGAAGCTTAGGCGGCCCGCAGCTAAGTTGGATCCACTTAATAGTCGGCCCGTAGCTAAGTTGGATCCACTTATTCTTCTCGCAGCATTCTCGCACCCTTCTCGAGAAATAAGGCGATCATCTCCTGGCCTTACCAAGTTGGACGATACAGCTAAGCTAACGCAGTGGACCTTCTTTCTGCTACGCAAGTTAGCCTTCGCAGAAAGAAAGCTGTGATGTGAGCAGGGCTCTCCTCCTACGGAAGTGCCTGCCTTTCAAAGTAAAAAATACTGTAAGGAAGTATTTTTTGCTATTCTTCACTTCTACCATACCGTCCACACAGAGTAGCTCCGAGTCACTTCCAGCAGCCATAAGGGACTCGGTACTACTCTGGGAGATACTTACAGAAGAAGGGGGGACGCGACAGTTGTACGACAGAAGAAGGGACACGACAGTTGCAAAACAGAGGGAGGGAGGACACGACAGTTGTACAACAGAAGAAGGGAGGGCACGACAGTTGTAGGTGTTGCACAGATGTGTATCAACAGAGAGCAGCACGCACTTACCAGTGTTAGTTTCTTGTGACTCCAAGGCCTATGACATAATTAAAGAGAGCGCTGCTTTCTCAATAGTTATCTGCTGGAGGCACTTCTGGCAGGCCTTAGAATTCAAGAAACCAACGACTCTTGTTTTAAACAAATGACAGAGTGAGTACTATCTGCTGATGAGTTCGCGCCCCTTGTGAGCCCCCGCAGAGCAGGCAGATTACATACAAAGTTTAACATCATCTTCCCATAAGAAAGCTGTAGCTGATGCCGTTTGTCATCTCGTCGCTATAGGCTAACCACACTCCTGCTCCTCAATGTATCTTCGTCACCTTTATTCATATCTTCCAATTCTCTTTATCTCTAAAAAGTCGACCCACCAACCTTGTGAAAGTGACGAGTCGACACTGAAACGAGCAGCATCGCGAGAAAACATCTACAACTATTCAGCTGGTATTACAGTAGTTCCTGTCAATTAGATGAAGTACTTAATATTACTCAACTTCCCAATCATCCATTCCACCAGCGCCTCGTGGTTCTCGATGCAGAAGATAGAAATAAGTAAAGTAGCTACAACATGTTGATCAACAACTAGTATAAGAAAATAGGAGTATCTTCACCGCTCGCTGGGGTTTTTCAATTCAAGTCTTGATCTCAACAATAATGATCATGAGCCTGATCTCATCAGCCTCTTCTGCTCCTTTTCTCCATTCCGTTCGAAAATTCTTCGTTCCCAGCCACTCTGCTTGGCACCGATTCCCCAGCAACCACGGCACACTTTTAGACCACAATGTATAACCAACAAGTTATAGAGGGCATCACCCGTGGTGTCCATGATGACGAAGAAGTAGAAGATCCTCTATTTGTGGACGTAATCTATGTTGAACAGAGTCATTGATTGGAAGGACTAAGCTAGGATGAAAATGAGGGGAAAATCCATCTGATACACTGAAATAAGTAAGGAAAACTACTTCCCATATGTCAGTCAGCAGCTAGCATATTTTGAGTTTTCGATTCTGAACAGAATTCTGAAAATCTATGAACAAAATTATTCTGAAAATCTATGAACAGCATTCTAATTCCTGAGTTGTATCATCATGATCATCTTAACTACCGCTACTTGTACCGGCAACGGCGCCTTTTTAGCCTGCAACGAACAGGAGGGCTGATTGAACAAGAACCAGAACTGCGAGAACCAACTGCTGCAGAAGCAAGGCTGCAAGAGCAAGGAAGCAGAAGCTCCGCCTCGTTCTCCATCATGGTCGGAACTACTCAACTATTTGAGATAGCCGAACACATGATCAGCTTCGTTCAAGCCTCGTAAGCTGAAGTGAAACACTGGACGCAAAACCTGTTCGCAAACATCTTCTTATTGAAGAGGGATACGGACTCCAGTATCATGACCTCCGATCATACCCCCACCCATTTGCTGCCCGAAGCCGCTCGACATAGGACCACTTGCGATCAGCCTCTCGAGCAGCGTCGCCACCCTCTGCATCTCAGCATTGCCACTGTCCCATCCTGGATTCATTTTCGTTGCACGACTGAACATAGCGACCGCTCGACTCTTTTTGAGTCCGACTGTGCCATCCGTGGGCCTAAGGAGTAGACCGAAGGCCGCACTCGTGTCTTTCCACTGACCGAGAATCTGTGTGAAAGCTCTCCTGTGCTCTTGTGGCGTTTCGTCGCCCTGATATTGTTCGTGGATTTGGACCACAGTGGGATGGTGTTCATCCTCCATGCCGAACCTGAAGCTCTCCCCTTTACCCGAGAAGATTTCATACCTGGGTAATTATTGTTTCGGTGGAGAGAAAACTAGCGTCGCCGGATCTAAGCGTAAGCCTTATGCATAACGTTGGCAGCCCTAGATAGTTTGGATGGAGGGACCCATGAGGGAAAAAGAGCCGACCTAGGGCTCATATGCTTACCTTCTTAGATGAGACAAGCAAGGAGGCCGTCCCCTAAGCCTAAAGTAAGAGGCAGGCAAGATCTGCTGCACGCCTCAGCCTATGAGGGAACAAAATTGGACACTTCCTGATAAGGAACGAGGCTCATTCGGCGTCCGAGCCTCATTAGGTGTCATCCTAAACTACCGGCAAGGCGAAACAGATCCACGAGTCGTCGCTTGAATGATAGAGCCCGTCATCGTGAACCATTTGAGGAGAAAGCGAACGGTTACTATTTGTATTTCTCTTCATTTCACTCGCTGTTGGGGTAACAACCTAGACAAGGCGCCGCGGATCCGGCCCTGGTGCCTGGAGCGAGGTCGCCAAAGAAAACACCCCAGCAGCAGGTGAAACAGCGTGCATCGGCCTGGAACTAATGCGCAATGCGCGTAGCCGTATCCAAGCGGCCAGCCCCGAACTGAGTCCAAAACTACAGTTATGGCCGACCAAAAACACGCTGGCGAGACAAAGCAAGGCCTGCGCTGGAAGCACTCAAGTGCTTTGAGGGCCACAAGAATTAGCAGTCACACTCACCCTCCCAGAAAATTGAGAGAGCGAGTCTAGTTAGCCTCTATCATTCGCATTCGCCGACTACCAAGAACCAGCACCGTCAACTAGCTCTTGCCCATAGGCCCACTCCTAAGACTCGCGGCGGGCCACTGAAGCATCTGCTGGCTGCCTGGGCCCGCGTGGGTACATCAGCGCAATACACATTGGCCGGCTAATTAATATAGCCGTTGGGGTCGATGCGTTGCTTGAAGGGATGCATCTACGAGGTAAAAAATAGCCGGCTGTTTTATATTTTAGTGCTTTGAGCGCCGCTGGACCTAAGCCCCAACCTTATTATGAAAAGGAAGGCACGAGCACGATACGATCAAGAAGCACCAGAAAAATCAATCGGACGAAAAAAGACTTCAACTTCTCAAACGACATGAGATAGATACACTTTTTCATGTTTTCTTCGGCAGTGGACAGTGGTATAAAAAAACGGTGATTGTTCTATGAGAGTAATGTTTGAGAGGGCTCATGGTCAGAATATGATACGAGCGGCAATGGTTTTCCCGAAGGGCACAGTTCATCGCTTGGTCGGGGCCGCCCTTCACCGTAAGCGCCAAGTAAGACCACTGAGCCAGGCTATCGAGAATTTCGGGAAGGAGGTAATGTTGCATGATCGCAGGCATGCCCTCTTTTGGATCCCTTGTCGCACGCATTTTCTCGAGGTCAGCCTTCTGCAGTTTTCCATCGCCGCCTACTTTTACTCCAACCGCGTGCAAGGTCCTCTCCTCGATCGTCTTTTTGACTCGTTCGGCATTTCCCTCGAACGCCATGTCGTACACATCTCGCGGGAGCTCGGCTTTGTTGGGGGCGTTCTTGTTGATACCAGCCTTTCGCCCAAGTCGGCTCTTGTACTCAAAGAAGTCACTACTTGCTCGTTTAAACTGGGAATTTGTAACAAATTGTTGAAGACTCGCCGATGCGCTGCTCAATGCTGCATCCAGCTGTGCCACCTCGCTCTCAGCGAATTGTTTCGCCTGCTCATCCTCCGCGCCTTCACTCTCTTCCCGCAATGCGCTGTAGATCCGGGATTTCGCAGTGTCGACAATGCTCTTCGTTCCGTCTTCTTTCGGGGCAGCAATTTCACCGCCGTCCCACTGTCCACTCTTTGGTCCTTTCAAGAACATAATCATGTCGCCACCTTCTTTAGCATTCGAAAACGCTCCACCACGGTTTCTCGCGAGGCGGCAAAGAGCGCGATTTGCATCCATCACAGGTGGACTGTAGTTGGTCTTTTCGAGTTCTGCTGTACAGAGCTCCTCGAACTGGGTTAGCAGTTCTCCATTTCTCTGGTCGAGCTCCGCGTTCTTATTGTGAAACGCGTTGAGGGCTTCCTCGATTCTCGACCGCGAATTCTCGCGGATGTCCTTTGTCTTCTTTTCGAGATCTTTGAGCATTTTTTCCGCATTTTCCTCTGCGAATTTGTTAAAGACAACCTCGATCGGGTCGCGGTTTCCATTCCACTTCCAAGCAAAGGAAGCCGCTACGGAGGCATACTGGAGGCCCTCCGCCATGGGCAGCAATCCCGCGACACCTCGCGCGCGGCCACCTGTGTTTGAGAAATGCAAGTCCGCCGACAAAAAGTCTATGTTTACACGACCAAAAAGTCATGTTTGTACTAAATCTCTGCCGCGAACAAGAAGGAATGGTCACCCCCAAAAAAAGAGCGTTATGCGCTACGGTTACCTAATTATTCAACAAAAAATTGACAACGGCGAAGAGAGAAGCAACGGTCGGCTTCTCTTACTCAACGGAGCTGTTAAATTATCATGCGTCACAAAAAGGGTGCATTACATAATTTCTCAACCTGAGACAAAATAGAAGAAGCTTAGTGTGTTTGTAAGTGTATAAGGTGCCCCGAGGAAGTTCTACGATCAGTATTTCTATGGAGTGAAATTGTACAGAGAAGAATAGTTTCATTCTCACGGGGGATGACCGTTTTCTATATATATCAACAGAATTAGATGTACTAGGTCTGCATGAAAATCTCACCTCCCGCTCCTTCAATTTTTCTCGGGAACTACTAGCACTAATTTTCTAGGGAACGTAGCAGGGCCAGGGCCAGGTAGTAATAATAATACTTGCTAGCCCAGAATGAGATCACTCAGTTTCAAGAATACTAGTCGACGTAGCAGGTAGTACGCAGCGATCTCCAAAGAAATGCTCCCTCAAAAGTCAATTCCATACAAATTATAGCAAGCAGGAAAGGCCCTGCGCAATAAAAACCCTGCAGCACTACAGAAAAATCCAGAAAAAGCGCACTACAGAAACAGCGCAACGGATACAGCAGAAGAAAGCAAGACTCATCAGTTACAGGAGTACTTGATCTAACATGGCAAATCAAGCCAACTATATTCTTTTGAAACAGGATTTATGCGTCTAAGCAGAGCACCCATAAATCCTCGACCCCGTCGCCCGCGATCCGCGACGAGGTTGGTACATTGATGAAGGGAGTAAAACGACCAACATATGTGCTTTGGGCGTCGCTCCTGGACCGAAGGCAAAAACCAAGCTAGATTTGCAGGAGCGTGTCTTGCTGAATCAAACTGACAGCATCGACACGACCAGGGAAAAAAATTATAGCGACCTTGCTACGGCGGGGCCGTGAGAACGCTGATACTTCATTCCCTTATATCGTAAAACAAGAACTTCTTGAAGCAAGCCTCGTAAAGCTTTGAAGCTTGTAACTAGCACTAGGGCCCAAACCTTTTCGAACGAGGTTCGGGCTCCCTCTATAGAAGGCGAAAGGTGAACTTTCAAAGGATATACTGTCTATTTTATCCCATAAAAGACCAAGACTCAGAAATTTGTGTTGATAGCACGACTCAGCTAATGTGGATAAGAACATACATTAATAACATCAATATCAATATACAAGTAACGACAAAAAAATCAAAATAAAAGAAGTCATTGTCTGCTGCAACACGAGAAACAGCACTACTTTGGCAGCAGGGAAGTTGCCTCTCTTCAAGTGCTATAATTTACATGTAGCGAGGGATCACTGTAGTAGCTATAATACCATCAAGCATCTCGAAGTCGGCAAGATGCTTGTGCATGAGATCGTCTCTCGCTCGCAGCTTTTTGTCCATCTCCGTTTGCAAGGCATTCAGTGTTTGCCCCATATCCATCACGCGGGCCTCAAGTCCATGGGCCTCAACATTTTGCGCTTGCATTGTTTTGTACAGTTCATCGTGGTCAGCTTGGTGTTTCTGGCCCAATGGATGCTCCGTTTCGTATTTATTCGGAGCTTCAGCAGGTGCAGGGGTTTCTGTGACGGGTTTCTCATTTTTCTCTTCACCTTCAGCAGGCTCTTTTTTCTCGCCACTACAATCACAGCAGTCGCCTTCTTCTTGCTTGGGGGATGCTTCTCCGTTTGCTGGTTCACCCTCACTACCACAGCAACCCCCGTCGGCTGCTGGTGCGGTGGACGTGGATGACGCCGTTATAATGAAAGCCACTAGAGAGATAAGAATAATGATTTGAACCAAGGAAGACCATCAGTTCAAACACTTAAATATATTCTTGAATCACCTTCTAGTACAGGGAGAGGAAGGAATAGAAATTAAAATAATACCTCCAGAGATGAAAATAATACGTACAGGGAGGAGGGAGGGATGCGTCAGCAATGAGGGATAAGCTTCCGGATTCAGCTTGTTTGACACGAAGAACTATCGTACGAGTAGGACTAGAAAGTCGTGAAGCAGTCGGGACGAGTCGTGTTGAGTCTGGCGATATATACAACCGCTAGTGACGCTCATGATATAGAGGGGAAACGGAGGGTTACTAGGGTGCGGATGGCTCGTAGCGGACAAAAGAACTACGATTCAGAATGGAAAAAACTCATCATGATCACCATCGTCATGACGATGTCGCGGAATTGAGAATCGTCATCCTCATCATGATGCTAAGTAAGGCTCTCACACTTATTCATCATTTGCTTTACTTACTGAGAAAGCGAGGTGAGCTATTTGGCACTCTTCATGGCAGTCATTCTAGCGACATCAATCTAATTTTCCTTGCGCCATCATTCTTTCCCTGAATCAATGAAGTAACAACGCATATTGGTGCACGGGATAAAAAGCCTAGTTTTGTAAAGGTGAAAACTAACCGGTTGATATATTCAAAATATGTTGTTGCTATTTCAGATCCCAACGCCTATTCACTGCGCCGCCTCCTGAAATGGGATCTGAAACTGACGATTTTTAGCATTTGACGGACGTGTATGCCAGTACAGGCACAAGGCTGGGTAAATTATATCTATACATTTCAATACCTACCTTTATCTACTTAAGCAGATCCAGATCATCAACCTGTTGCTTTCTTAACGGTACTAGGGCTACCGGCTGCAGCTTGCAGAAAAGATGCCTCAGATGAATCGTGGAGGCGCAGTCCTTCCCCTGCAGCGGTTAGAGCCGCGAATGTTGCTACGCGACCCAACGACATGTTGATGCGAGTAGAACAAAATTCAACTCAATGAAATTCGATCGACGCCTTGTTCCGAAGGAAAGGAAGACGATATTTTCTTGTTGATGGAAAAAAACTTCCTCTTGCTCTTAAAAACAAAAGGGGGTCTCTCCCAATCGCTGACTGGGATCATGGGCAAATAATGAGATCATTGAAAGTAAATAATGATTGAGGCTTCATCCCTCGCAACGCCATTATACTTTGCTCGAAGAACATAGCATAAAGATCTGTTCACAAAAAACACCATAAAGACTCCCTTGGAACTACAGACATTCCTCCACGTCTATGGAACTACAGACACACACCTCGTCACAGACACACACGACACCCACAGTGCGCTCAACAGACAACTACTTACTTAGCAACGCCTTACGACGTTGCCCACTGCTCTCACTCACAGCAACCCTCAACAGGCGAGGGAAGTTGCTCACTTTTCTCACCCACAGCAACTCTCAACTGCAGACTCAGCTAGTATTTGATGTTGCTCACTTCTCTCACTCACAGCAACACCCAAGAACAGAGGACTTAGAAGGAACAACCATTAGTTTTATTGTAGACAGGAGATTGACTTAGAAGTACTTGATGTTGCTCACTTCTCTCACCCACGCCAACACTCAACAGAGGACTTAGAAGTACTTCATGTTGCTCACTTCTCTCACTCACACCAACACTCAACAGAGGACTTAGAAGCACTTGACGTTGCTCACTTCTCTCACTCACAGCAACACTCAACAGAGGGAGCAGAAGTAAGTACTTGATGTTCTTGCTCAACTACATTGTCTCGTGTATATTGGAGCACTCTCTATGGGAACAACAATTTCATTGGCTATGGGAACATCAAAAATATTCTACTTAGAAGGGGTCCGCCCCTTCGTTCGTGCAAGGATCACAGCACAACTCCCTTCGACCTTAAAAGGATTTCTCTGCTTGCACCCTTTTATCAAAAAGGCAGCACATGTATGATGTTCGCGGCTGCACTCTCTTGTGTATCGATCCCACGGAGAAAAACGCAACCGAATTCGTTGAGGACAACATCGACCAAAATCAGAGAATACCAGTTGAGCCGCATGGGATTCAGGGAGTAGGGCTGGAAGTATTAAGTATATCGTTTTGAAGGTAACCCGAAAGACTGCCTGGTGGCACGAACATCAACATTACGATTACTATTACGTAGGAACAATTTTCATTGCACTTTTTAATCGGGATGCTTCGTTTCTCGGCCTGGGCCTCGACCCACGGTAGCGCTGAGGGAGTAGAATGAAGGGGTCTATCGCTGTGACAGACGCGGGGCTTGCCCGACTTAGGAAGAAGCACGCCGCTAATAACGAAATGGTGATGGACATCATCAACATATGGACAAACTAACTGACTGAACGAACGCCGTCTTTCACAGGAACGCGAATAAGCCTCACTTCTAGTCATACAACCCCAATTCCAACGACCAGTCATCAAAGAAGTCATCTTTCTCAAACTTCTAGTTTACAAATTAGTCTGACAACAATGAAAATACGAAAACGACGCGTCTCTCTCTCTTTCAACCTATGAGACTCATTTAACAGCATGAACATAGAATGTCAGTTGCATCTTGTAGAAGCCTCACTTAGCCTACACGATGAGTGCTGATTAGTTCTTGTCCTGTAATTGTCTTCTATCTACATCCTTGGTCATGTTGAACGAAGGGAAAAGCTAGCCTGCCGGCTGTTTTTATCTACATCCTTAGCTGCAAGAAGATGAGAAGCGGGTCGGAAGAGATCTCCACAAAAGTCAGCCAAAGATCAATGCTGGGTGCTGTAGTGGATGTAGCATTTCCGCGTCAAAAAAATAAGGGACAGCGATTAGTATTTTTCTTATTCAGGAGTACATCTTGAGCCACTAACTCTAACATGGATATCATGCGGCACTTGAAGAACTGCGTTAAACCACGTAAAGAACGACAAGGTCAGCAGAAAGTAAACACGTTCAAAGAGGCCGGGGGAAAAATACTAATGGCTATCCCAGCCACGAAAAAACCTGTAGCCACCTGTAAACCCCAGAAGGAAACGACAGTCAATTCATCAGAATCGGCATAGGGAGGGTTGCAAGTCCTCTCTAAGACGGCCTTAAGCGTCGCTGGACCTGAGCCACTTATAAGTAGCCAATCTTGATTTGCGATCGACTATTGCGAGTCCTGACGAAAAGCTGTCTAGAACTACCGAGCGGCGTTACTCGTAATATGAAGGCCCCAGATGAAGAAAGCATGTTGGAGTATATTACTAGAAACCTAAAAAGTTGGACTGACTCTCGCCTCTCCACAAGCACAACAGACAGAAGAACTCTCAAACAAATAAATATCTTGCTTGAAGGGATATATCTAAGTACGTGGGTGATAGTTAGAGGTAAAGACCCACCGGTTGTTTTATTTTAGTGCCTTGAGCGCCCGCTGGACCTAAAAAAGACCCCAATCTCATGAAAAGGAAGAAGCCAGTCTAGATTTGCAGCAGGAGCACACCTCTGAGAAAGGTCGAAATCTCAAACAAATAAATATCGCGAGAAAAAAGAAGCTGATCACTATCGCTTTCGTAATTTTTCCGAAAAGCAAGAGAGGCGAAGGAACTAGAGCACCGTCAGCCCGGCCCTTGTTTTCGGCCTTGCGATGGTTGGCCGGGCCCTTCCCTCACAAGGCGCCACAGCGAGTGCTGCCCACTTTCTTTCGCGACAATTCAAATCTGGCCAGGCATCGTCTGTCCAGCCGCGGAGCCGCGACCCCTGCTCCCTCACACGCTCCGCCCCGGGGCAGTAGGGCGGCCTAGCCCTGTAGAGCTGTGGCCAAAAGCTACGAAGCCGCCGATCACAATCAACGCGGCCGCGCTGGAAACCCCAAGGGCACGGGCCGGGGAACGAAGCCGCCCGAGGGGCTACCCCGCTCAAGCTCCAAAGAGATGAGAGGCTGACCGAGAGGCACAGGCGCGCGGGAACGTCAGCTGGGCGCCTCGGTTGGAAGGGGTGTCAGCCGGCGACCACCGAGCCACCTGCTGCTCTAAAATCTATTCAGGACTCCTCCAATTATTTTTCTGCAAACGAATGCGTAATTCCACCCCGGGCCGAGAGTTTCAACTTCAAAACCCATTTTAAGAGCATTGCCAATCCCATTTTAAACGAACAAATACCGCCCGCAGAAGAAGTAAAGGAATTTTAGGAACTTTGTTTGTAGGGCAACTGAACTCCTGGCCAGGCCGCCGCCGGCTGAGTTGGAGTGTATGTTGGAGCGGGGTGGCGTGTTGGAGTGGGGTCCGTGTTTTCAGAAGCACAATGCGAATGAATTGAAAAGACCTCCTCCCAGCGCCCGACACGACCGATGGATGGGCGGCAATTTCTCGGGCGCCCGAAGTTCTCTCACTCTCTCGCCACCGTCCGAAGTCCAAGACAAAGCCCACGCCATGTCTCTCTTTGGAATAATTCTCATCTGGGGCGGAGAGCAAGCAGCAGGCCGATGGCCGACTTTTTTGCTCCACTTTCTGCCCAGGTGACGCGACAGCCCTCAACACCGACCGTCAGCCCCTTTTTTCTGCTGCACTTTCTGCCTAGGCGAAAGCTTCCACCCCGTTCCCTTTTTTCTGCTTCACTTTCTGCCAGGCGGGAAGCTTCCACCCCCCTCCCTTTTTTCTGCTCCACTTTCTGCCAAGGGGAAAGCCTCCACCCCTGTCCCTTTTTTCTGCTTCAATTTCTGCCCGGGGGAAACTGTCCACCCCCGTCCCTTTTTTCTGCCTCAATTTCTGCCCGGGGAAAAGTTTCCACCCCCGTCCTTTTTTTCTGCTTCAATTTCTGCCCGGGGGAAAGTCTCCACGCACCTTCATCCCTTTTGTTTCTGCTAGCTTCGGTTTCTGCCCGGGGGAAAGTTTCCACCCTCAACCCTTTTCTGCCTCAGTGCCTGCC